TAAAGGCTCCTTCACACCAAGCCGTTGTGATACTGCACCGTGTTCATTGAGAGGTAATTTCAGCATACCCTCATTTTAGCATACCTTGTATTAGGTCATTTTAGCATGTCTATCTAGCACCTCATAACGTGTATGTAAAACCTAACAATGAAAGTTTCGCATTCGCTTCTTTTGGGTCTATTTAATTGACCACTAAGAGCGTTTTGTTATCTGTAATAATACCTGTTGCTTTTTTGCCAGAAATCCAGAGCTGTCCTGTGCAGTCTGCAGTGTTATCTCAAGCAGTCCTGTCAAGCATGCCCAGTTCTCTCTGTGGACTACAGAAAGCCCCTTATGTTTTGGAGATTCTGTAGGCCAGACACACTTTCTGTCCTAGAGTGACAATGCTGCTCCTCCACAGATAAAGCAAGATGGGTGAGCGTTGTCACCATAGGACAGGAAGTGTTTTACTGGCAGGATCACTAGAGCAAAGTGATGGAAAACCACCATAACAACTAAGGACGGATAAGCTGCAATATAATACGTTTTCATCTTTGATAAACTTTAAGCAGTAATGAAACAGAAGTCATCATACTTGCGCAACTAGATCGATTGTTTATGGACTGTATATTAATAGTGTTAAAGGCTTGACAAAGGAGGTGAACCTCTGAAACGCGTTGCCTAGCAACACCTGACGACCCGGAAGCACTCAGCCGCTGTGACCCCGCCTTGAGGAGAACCAGCCACAGCAGTGCTCAGCCACTGGATCAGATCTGTGTCTTCCAGCACAGGTGTTCTGGAAACTTTCTGGACTGGACTCTGCTCTCTCCATATCCTGATAACAATCTAGGACCAGCATCTGAGATCGGACTTTCATCTGCTGCGTGACAGGTGAGATGTTTTTGAATATCCTGTAAGTGCATTACTTTTAACCTTTATTAACTGTTCTCGGGGCTTCATACAAGCGATCCGCCGGCTCTATAGCCGGCGGATCGCTTGTATATTAACGGGCATCGCTGCAGCTTTTCAAATAGCGGGGATTTCCCGCTCGCGCGCGCCGCACGCCCAGTTACATCCAAGAAGCTCCCGGCAGGCCGTGTATACACAGCGGCTGGCCGGGAGGTAGTTAAAGGAGAACTATTACTATGGGGATATATACTATCCCCATAGTTCTCCTAAAGGTCACGGGAGGACATAAACTAGCGTCCTCCCATTACCCTAAGCTCAGTATACTGCGAGCTACAGCTCGCGGTATACTGAGACCGCCTCAGCTGGGACGGATCACGACATTACTGTCGAGATCCACCCAGCTGCGTGATTGACAGCTGGCTCTGCCTATCTAGAGGCAGAGCCAGCTGTGCCCGCCACCTCTCCGTCCATTCCGCCAGTCAGCGCTGGAGGATCGGAGCGGGGAATCCCTGAGTGACAGTTACGGCTCTCTGCAGGGAGATGATCGTAAACTGAGCGAGCGACGGTATGTGTTCGCTCACTTCCCGATCTATTGAGCCGACCTGTGACCGTTTCATTGTCACAGGTCGGCTCGAACTATGAGGATGAGTGAAAATCACTCACCTCATAGTTCTCCTTTAAACAGTCATTTTTATACTGCACTTAGATCTGTGCGCCGGTTTTTTTATGTTTTAAGCAATAATGGAATGCCACTGGGTCCCTTTTAAAGCCTTTGCGTACTCAGCCTTGGAGCAATGTCAGATGGCAGCCATGTCCGCGATTTCAGCGATAGACTCTCCAGTTTCTTCTAATAAAACAGAATTTGGTCAGTCATTAAAACAGCACTGAAAGTTTCCTACAAAACTGCTGTGTTTAGATAACTTCAAAGGGGATTTATGCTGACACTATTTATAACCAAATCCGCAGAGACATTCACTCTATGAATCTTGCTGAACATTCATTCTGTGCGAAAAGACACAAAAAAATGAACATTCTTAGATATATTTTCTTTCCAGGTCGAATGTATATAATGTAAGTCTGCACACCTTAATTCTTAGCCCGTGTTTTTTCCAGTAACCAATTATCAGTTGTGCGCTTATGGTTTTTCGTTTTGTTGTATAATGTAAGACTGCAATTTGGCAACTAGAAGGAGCTGAGGTGCATTTTCTTTTCAGGTCTAATGTATGTCATGCAATACTGCATTTTGGCCACTAGACGGCAATGAGGAGCATAGGCAACAAGTATTTTTTATGCTTCTCGGCTCCATCTAGTGGTCAAATTTCAGTATCGCATTACATACATTAGACCCGAAAAGAAAAAGCTCCTTAGCTCTTTCTGGAGCCAAAATGCATTCTTACATTACATACAGTCTAACTGAAAAGAAAATATTGGATGTGTGCTGTTCACACCGAACAATTGGTACAATAAAGAATTCGGGCAGTTCAGCCAGTGACCCCAGTGTAGAAGGAAGAGTCGGTCAGAGGGCGCAATTCTGGGACATATTATTTCTGACTGTAGAAAAAAAGTATTGCCATATATTATTCTGAGCTGGGATTGATGGGGTTACCATGGAAACCCATCCTCAACAGACGTGAATGGAAAAGTTATGGAAACGTTCTATTAACAGAATGTTATCACCGCCCCCTCCTCCTCACCACCCGCGCCGCTACTACAGCACCAGGGAACAGATGGCGCCAATGGGAGGGGGGTGCGATGATATTTTATGTCAGTCAATAGATGGACTACTGTACCCAGATATTATAGGGGATATATCTGACGTTTCTGATTGGTGGAATAGAGGGGAGGGGACATTACTGATTGGTGGAATAGAGGGGAGGGGGCATTACTGATTGGCGAAATAGAGGGGAGGGGACATTACTGATTGGTGGAATAGAGGGGAGGGGGCAATACTGATTGGCGCAATAGAGGGGAGGGAATATGACTGATTGGTGAAATAGAGGGGAAGGGACAATAAAGGAGGAACAAAGTGAAAGGAACATATTGACTGGGCATCTTGGTCAGGATGGACACATTGGGGGGGTCTCTGGCTGTAGGGGTAGATTAGGGGGGGGTCTCTGGCTGTGGTGGGTGGGA